TGTGCTGTAAAGTGCTTTGAGCATCTTGATTAGATAGAAATGTGCTTTATAAGTACAGTCCATTTACCATTTACCTAGTCAGTCAATTAACACCATTCTCAAAAAATGATGCTGAATTACTTTGGCATGACTGCATCTGAAATGCTTCTGCCTATGGATGGATGATGGATGGATGGAAATCACTGTTGTTAGAATTATGTTCCTGTAAACTAACCTAACTTTAGCTACACTATTTGCCTGAAAAGCTAAATCACAGTTACAAAAAAAAAGTTCATAAAAATAAATAAATAAAAGAAATAACTAATGGTGGTGGCTCATGATTTTCCCATACAGCACTAAATCTTCCATAGTATTGATCGGAAATAGCTCCTTTACCAGATACCGATAGTGTTAAAATAAACAATAGTGTTCTCATAAATCGCGCTAATGATTTCTTTGAAAACTTCAGCTGTAATCCAATAGATATCATTAAGCTTCTTTTAATTGTACACCTCCCCGGAGGGTACACAAACTCAATATAACCCCAAAGATGTTATTCCTAATAGTTTTGTTCTTTTACATGATTTTTAGGTTGTACAACAAGTAGCACTTAATTGAATTGTTCACATATGTGTTACAGTCATGAGTGATTCACAAAATTTGCAGCTGCTGTTCTATTTGAGCTCCTTTTCATAAATAAATGTAAAAAAAAAATAAAAAAAAATCAATACATGCCAAATATAACCCTGAAAACATTATCTTGTTATGGCAACTTGGTTACAACACAGTTTAGAACAGATGCAACACAATTTTTTTTTTTTTTTTTTTTTTTTTATCTTTGAGATGCCATTTAGGAGCCTCATGAAAATGATCAAAAATTAATTTCAAAAGGCAATACTATACGCCACATCTCGGATGATCTATTTTTGCACGGCAGTCATTACAGGAATCCGTGGCGGCAGATAGGGAGAAACGCAAGTGCTAGGTGCTGTCAGAAAACAGATCTATAATGTCATCTCTCCTTTTCACATTTCCATCACAACTATGTAATTATGATTGGATTCCTCCCCAGTTTCTCGGCAGAGGTGGTAATATGAAGCGCATTGTGATGACTGTTTTGGAGGTTAGAGGAAAGACAGTCTGCAAGCCTGGCCTTAGCTAAGCAGTATTGTCAAATACGCTGCCTGGTTTGTGTGTTTTTCTCATCTCATCTCAATAAGGCATTAGAGCCAGTGTGTTTTCCTTTGTTCAACCCCAGCTCTGTTTATATGACTCTGCTATCATGACAAAACCATATAATGCTAATAAGCTGGTTGGCGATTCTCTGCTTGTTCATGGCACAATAAATATTATGGTATGTGTTTGCTATTCTTCAATGTACTATTCCACACACCTCTTAGGCCATACGGATGAGATCTCTTAGGTAGATGCTACATTTTTAATGAAAGCAGAGTGTTTGATCTTCCAATGTTTATCGTCTTTGATGCTAACTGACACAGCAGAGAGCAGCCAGTTCTCACTGTAGTCTGACATGAGGACCGATTAATTCATTATCCTTTAAAAGGGGAGGCTTGTGGTTAAGGAGTTCATTATGGAGGTCTGATCCAGGATTCATTGACAGCATTAAATAAGACCTTTCCAACACAGTGAGTCATGTTCCCCCACAATACGACCTCCCTGGTAAACTGCATATGGATGTAGAAAATTTGAATGCATGAATCAAGAAAATCCATTTAACGTTTAATTAAATTAAGTTTGCATTGAGTAGAGCTGTACACCAAATCATTTTGCATAATATATAGTAGCTTTGCCTATACTTTGTCTCTTTGAATTTTAGTATTATCAGCATTTTTTTTTTTTGGTTCATTGGGTAATCCTGAGGCTGCAGGTTTGAGACAGGTTGCATCATGAAGGGCATTGACAAAAAATGGGTGGGTATCACAGGATCAGTCCTCAGATGGTTTAGGTACTGTCTCTCCCACAAAACCTTTTGTGTCAAAGGACTTTATTTCCACATTGGCAGCTCTTTGGTGGGGGGAACCACAGGGGTCCATTCTCAGTCCTCTTCTCTTTTCTTTATACCTTCTGCCACTAGGTGCTATTTTTCGTAAACACGGCATACCTTTTCATTTTTACGCCCATGACTGTCAAATTTACTTCCCTCTGAAGTGCACTAGTGCATGCTCTATCCAACCTCTTCTTGACTGCCTGGCTGACATCAGGGGACTGGATGGCTTTAAATTTCTTAAATTTTAATAAGACGACGACAAAAGTCACATTGTTTCCACCTAATGGCACAACCAGGAACCACTGTATAGACCTTTCCTCTCTAACCCTGTAAGAGAAAAAAGTTCCATGAAACTAAACAGTCATGTAAACATGATTGTTAAATCCTGTTTTGTTTTTGTTTGTTTTTTTTGTTGTTTTTTTTTCAGTTGAGATGACTGTTTAATTGAAACCCATACTTTCCAAAAGTAATTTTGCAACCATAACATCCAGGCTTGATTACTGCAATGCACTTCTTTTTGGAATCAGCTCAGACCTCTATTGCACGTTTACAACGGGTTCAAAATGCTGCAGCTCGACTTTTATCCTGTGTCCTTTGCTTTTTTTTTTTTTTGTACAGCACTTTGGTTGGCCTTGTTGCTGTTTTAAGTGCTTTATAAAATAAGTGGTATGGTATGTTAAACTATAGCCAAATATTTCATGCAATCTTGCACTCCGTGGTGACCACTGCAGAAAGGACCATCCAAAAGCAAACAAAAACAACACCACCATTGTTTCATTTGACAGAATGTTAATGGGGAATAAGCAGAAAATCTCGGCAATCTAAGGGGGCAACAAACGGGAAAGAATTTCCAGGACACTACTGTATCTAATGACTACAACAGATCCATATCAGGCCAAGTGTCCCAGGAGGGAATGCAAATCACAAATATGGAGCCAGTGCCTAATTACTCACCAGCAGTCGAGTTACACAAGCAAGTGTGCTGATTTCATTCTGCTGCACAACTGTGTAGGTGTGCATTAGCCATGTTCCTCCATGTAGCTTAATCCTTCCCAATCCCTCAAGGAGATTTTTTTCCCTTTGTCATAGGTTTGTATAGATATTGTCAGCGTTATTATCTGTATTTACTGAATAACGTTTGGAAATATTTTAGGCTTTTGACCTTTTCTATCTTCTTGCTATTATTCCATTTACCATAAAACTCTGCACTCAGTAATGCTAAAATGAGTAATCGTTATAATATAGTGTTCACTAACAGTAAATAAGCTGTCAGGGGGATAAAGTGGGTGTCAAATTGTATGAATAGACCAAGCAAGAAATAGATGCTTAAGGGCACACAGAGTTCCAACGCCGACATAGTCTAAAAGCACTTAATTATAATAAGCTGGAGTATGGAGCAAGTGTTAGATGGCTTGGGGGATGGGGGGACTTGAAGACAGCCACAACAGTCCAGTGCCAGATACATGAATGGGAGACTGCTCTGGGATGGAGCCAACATCAAATCTGCATTAGTGGAACAAGATTATGAATATTTGTTTTCCTGTGGACGTCATGAAAAAGAAACGATGCATGCCTCGTTGAGCATACTGTATTTTCCTTTATTGTTTTCATCAAGCTTCAGAGTAATTTATCCAGTGGGATAAGAAAAGTGCTTACGGCATTATTAATATCAGGTTATCCAAATGTGAGTTGTGCTTTTTAAACCAATCAATTATGTCATAATTAATGACATTTGATAAATGTACTATTGCTAATTAATATTGTAATTCATTTAGCTAATGATTCACATGATCTACTGAATCAAATAAAGTAACTTGAATGGAAAAGTAAAAAATGTGACCACAGAACTGTGAAGAATGTCTTAAAAAAAAAAGTATAGACATAAATTGAAGATTTAGCAATAGTTTTGCATTTGTGTGAACTCATTTATAAGAAAAAAAAATATTGAAATCACATAAAAAAAGATTTACAGGATGATGTTCCAGCAAAGTCTGTTTAACTCCCTTCTTCTGTGTTTTTTTTTTTTTCTTCTTGCTCTCATCACACATGCAAATGCACAACACACCAACTGAGCTCCTTGTCTAATTTTTCATAAAGATAGATGTTTCTATACTAATCTGACAGCTGCATTCAATTTGAGCCTATTTCCCAATCACACACTCATTCATTCTCAATTGTGCACACACAGACACACTGTCTTTCATACCATGTATACTGGCAAAAAACGATTAAAACGCTAAAATCCCAAAACACGAGACATGATTCTGCCTTGAAGCGTCACAATCTCCTACTCGGACCAGGCCATTTTTAAATTAAGGAGTCATTTTAAGCATCAGCTTGACGAGGGTGCTGCAAGGCTCTTTCTCCCTTAATAGCTGGGTTGTTAGAGACACTCTTCCATCTACCAGGTCATGTTTTAACCTTTCATAGAGCTGATAAAGACATTGACATGATTCAGAAAGACAGGAAATAACTGGTGTAGAGGATACAAGGAGGGCATAATTGGTCCACTCAGTCAATAGTGCTGCCATGTGCTTTGAGGCTGCTAATGAAGCACAAGAGATGGGGAGGTGCCCATTTGGCATGCAGGTTTCCTGGACGCCTGGGACACAAGTGCAAATTTGCAGGTGTTCGCTCGTGTCTTTTTCACGTAGAGGTAAGGCAGGCAGTGGCAGTAAAACTGAGAAATTGCTCAGCATTATTAGATAAACGGCTCTGCTACCTGCCTCCTTCGTTTTTTGCTGAATTTTCCTCCACTCATGAATTGACACGAGCGTACTCAAACTCTCAGATGGAGCTGAGAGCTGTTCAAGAGTGATGTGTTGCTCGGAGCTCTGCAAAGTCATTACTCAGCACAATATAACACTCAGACTGATGGTGCTCCGTGCACATGCTGCAGATGCCGGCTTTGCTGTGTTAATACTATTTGTAAGTTGACAGTTAGTGACGCCCGCATGGCATGAAGTTGTTATTGTACTGAAATGTTTGTTTTCCTTCCTCCTTTGTCCTGCAGCGGGAACAACTTATATATTTGGGCGGGATGGTGGACTGATCACGTACACATGGCCGCCAAATGACCGTCCCAGCACAAGGGCGGACCGGCTAGCCATTGGCTTCAGCACGCACCTAAAGGATGCTGTTCTGGTGAGAGTGGATAGCTCCTCTGGCCTTGGAGACTTTTTGAAGCTCCACATTGTAAGTCAATTTATTTAACTCTTTAAGCAAAATGCACACAGCTCAAGCTAATTGGAGAGATGTACACATATGTCTGATTTTGTTTTTTGACCATTGAAACTGTATCACATGACTCCATGCACTACGATCCACATACGCACACATCATAGGTTATTTAACTGCTTCAGTAAAATCCCATTAAACCTCAACAGGGTTGCGATATTCTGGGAATTTCCAAAATTGAACTTTTATTATGGGAAATAAAGGGAATTGATAGGAATTCACAAGAATAAATCTGGACTTTAAAACATTTAAGGTTATAAGGTTACATCATGGATTTGAAATATAGATGGGGAAAATGTATTTGAGCCTAATTCTGACTAAAACAACCAGATCTCATTGCTGTACCATGAAATGATAAATATCAGGCTGCAAAAAATGATTAATAATTAGTTTTGTTGTGAAATCCAATGTACTGACATATGTTGTCGAAATCACTGTTTTGGCTGCCTTCATACAGTGGCCCTGAGGTGTAAATGATGAACATTTGAAATAACAGAATTACATTTGAAATAAACACAACAAAAACACAACATCATTTGAAAAAACAGAATTAAATTAAGCCAAAGAGGAAGTAGATGAAGCGGAAGTGGCCAAAGTGGAAGTAGCCAGAATCACATTTGGAAAAATCGGAATTACATTAAGCCAAACATGAAGTGGTGGTGTGTGTGTGATGTGTGTGTGTGTGTGGCGGGGGGGGGGGGGGGGGGG